CAGGCAAGCCTGGGGGGCATTTTCTTTATTAATGATTTATGTGAGAGGGCCATCACCTAGCCCACTGCAGGCCATACCACCCCTAGACAGGTGGCCCTGGGTTGTATAGGAAAGGCAGCTAAGCAAGTCAGGGGGAGCAAGCCAGTAAGCAGCATTCCTCTATGATCTCTGCTTTAGTTCCAGCCTACAGGTTCCTGCCTTGGCTTTTCTCAGTGATGGACTGTGATTGGGACTTGGGGCATGAAAGCCAAATAAACTTCAGTGAAGGCAGGTACGGGGTGGGAACCATGGCAGTTTGTTGAGCAGGGATGCCAAGATGAGATGATGAGAGTGCTTCCGGGTACCCTGGGGCCTGTGTGCAGCTGTTATCTTGCTGTTTCTCACCTCAGTGACACAGGCCACATTCACAGCGCTGGTTAGTGATGTATAATTTCCATCATGAAAAGCAAATTGTGTACCCATTTACTAATTTCCATTATGAGAACCACTTGGGATTCTAATCAATACGATTGGCTTCTTCCTGAAAAAGGAAAATGCCTAGCAATCTTCCAGCCTGGTGGCTTCCTCCTGTTGCCATGCTGTGCAAGCAGGCAGTCCCCCATGCTTCCCAGTGGGGTGTTTTATCATGAAAGCCTCCAGCAGACCTCCTTGGTAGTTGTCCGCAATGCTGTGCTAGAGCACACATGAGAGCCTTATGCTCTTCCTGCTTGCATCAAGCCCTGTCAGTGGCCTGGGGCTAGGGCCTCTGCAGTACTTGGGCCTATAGGTGGGCTCCACCTTGGGGGCATTGAGCCACTGCCTGCAGCTGGCCTACCTGGTTACCTGATTGTATCTTTTGGTCTTCCCCACCCTCTCTCAGAGCTCTTAGCAAATCGTTCTGTGGATGCTCACAGACAGACCTGAGATGTCAGCTCCTATCCATGTCTCCCTGCAGCAGTGCCTCAGATGACCCCCATATCCATGCTATTTATAGCCCAGGCCAAGCTAAGGGTGGCTCTCCAGTCCTCTGAACCTGCCACCAGCATACTCTTTACGAACTCTGAAGCACGGCCTCCAAGTCAGGCAGTGATGGATGAGACTGTGCAGAGAGCAGCACACTCAAAAGCAGAGCATCACTCCTTTACCGTACACGCATCACCTTTCTAACGGCACTGAGCCAGTCCTCAAATCAGCTTTTCATTTGTAACAATAAATTCACAAGTTACAACTGCTTATATTTATAAGGTACAACATAAGGGTTTAATTCAAGATTAAAACCTAGAATAATTATATCAAGTTAGCATTATTGGTCACCTCAATATTTTTCCTGGGGCAAAAACATTTGAAATGTACTTACTTTCTCAGCATTTTGAAATGCACAATACACTGTTAGTGACTGCTTACCAAATCATGTGACGGTCTCAACTTCTGAGGTTTTAGCCTTTGACCACCCTCTCATCGCCCCTCCCTCCCACTATTCTACGGGTTGCTCCTGTTGCTGGATTTCCTCAGATTCCTCTTATGAGGACACGATTTGTTTCTGCACCCGGCTGTCTCACTTAGCATGATATTCCCGAGCTCTGGCAGATGGCAGGGTTTTGGTGTCTTTGAAGTCAGACAGTGCCGTGCATAGATCCCACATTTTCTCTACCGGTTTATCTTTTGATAGACAGTTGGGTTCCTTATCCCATCAACCGTGCGTAGAGCTGCAACACTTCTGTGATGCACTGACCCGGGATCTTTGGGGTAATGACAGTGCCTAACAGTGGACCTGCTGGATCCCATGTCAGTTCCTTTTTATCCTGAAACTATCAAGGCCAAGTGCCATTTTCCCTACAGCCACTCCATGTAGAAATCTAGGCATCTCCTGGATGCTGCCCTGACTCCTGCCAGCCAGTCACCTCCGCAACTCCAGCCTCCAGCCCACCTGGCCTGCCACATTTCCTTGCAGCTGCCTAAACTTCCAGCTCCTGCCACACTTTTCCCAAAACAGGTCACTCCACTCTGCTTCATAGATGCCTTGCCAGGTCCCATTGCTCAGGCTCAGCTCCTCCATGAGGCTCCCACGTCCCTTGACAGAAACATGGCTCACACTGTGATGCACCAGGCTCTGCTCTGAATGCTTCCTATATTACTAACTTAAGTGATCCATTGGCCACCGCCTGCTAGTATTACCCCACCTGTTAGTAAAACTGCAGGTCTGCGGTAGAAGTTACCCACTGGCAGAACTGAGGTTTGAACAGAAGTCTCTTCTCAGAGCCCTGCTTTCTATACTGTCTAGAGAGGGTTCCCCATGACATCCTGACAAGCCATTCTCTTGCTAGGCTAACCATCCATTCCAGACAGTTTAGGAGTGCCCCTGGAAGTGACCCACCAACAAGCTTGTTTAGAGACAAGGCTTTCCTAGTTTACCATTCTCCACACTTTCTTCCTTTACAAACTTAGCTGACCTGCTTCCCAGCCATCCCCAGAAGATCGAGCCACTTCATCCACATGCCTCTCACACCTCAGAGGCCTGCCAAGACACCTGTAACCCTCTGTGAAGGCTACTGTTTATCCATTTTGGCCTCTGATGTGCAGTATCTTCATTTGATTTCTGTGCCTGGAACACAGCACTGGGCAAAGGCTGAATTACACACATGAATAGAGTGCTTCCTAAGACACAGTAGAAAGACTCATCTGGCCACAAGTAATGGAGGGAACTCAGGCAATGGAGAGGAGTCCTGATCAGATCCCATCTGGCTCTGCTAATAAGCAAAGGAGCCTATGGCTGTTTCCATGGACAGCAAAGGATTCTTTTTTTTTTTTTTTTTTTTTAAAGGAAGAAACAATTTTTTTTTTAAAGGAAGTAACAAGTACATTGAGTTAGAGACCTGGCCCAACTCACTTGCTAGAACTCTAATGGTGGGTGACTACTCTCTCTTGGCCCATCATCAAAATGGGCAGACATACACCTGAGTAAATGGGTACCCCTTTCTATGAAAGCCAGTTCTTAGGAACTATGCACCCAGATCTAACCCATGTATATAAGGGAGAGTAATGGAAGCAGCCTCCCCACCCCCACCCCAGGTACCTTTCTATACTTTCCATCAAAGACCAGTGACTAAGGTTGTATTCCTAGTTCTGCAGAATGGCTGTCTTCTCTGAGGGAGAGGGGCTGATCCTCTCAGGATCAGATGAGACACAGCCATGAAAACAAACTACTGAGAGAGGCATTAGGCTGAAGGTCAAGATGAGTGACAAGTCTTGGCTCCATCTGGTTCTAGCTTTGCTATTTTTGCTTGTCTGAGACAGTTTCATGTAGCTGAGGCTGGTCTCAGAGACTAGCCTTGAACTCCTGATGCTATGATTACAGGGGTGTGCTACCACATAGATTATCACTAGCTTTCTGGCTTTAAGCAAACATATTCTTGCTACCATTTCCTTATCTGTGAAATGGAAATGACAGCATGGAGAGTCCAGAGCCTTTACAGGGGTTTTTGTTCAAATCCTGGTTCTTTATGTCAGTGGGTGATCCCATACTACAGGTATGGAGAGGCACAAGGATAGCTCACAGGCATGCTTGCACAGCTAACCTGGGGCGATAGGCTCATTTGTAGACACTGCACATCTGGACAAACCCCTTCTGTTCTTTAGCTTTTTGTTTCTGTGCAGATTCCCAAACTGTATGATCTTCCTTCCAGATTGCTCTCCTCCTCCTGACCAGGGGTTAGGGAAGTGGGTAGAGACCCACCATGGACACCTGTGAGCTGAGACCTGCTTCCCGCCTTTTTGGCCACACCTTCGAAAGCACCTGCTTCATCTGAGTCATGTACCCGCTTACAGGGTGTTGGAGCTCATGGGCTCTGATCTGGTGGTGGTTGTACATCCACCTCAGCTTGGGAATTGGAGGCCATCTTAGACTGACTGAATGGGTAGCAATTGTCACCTGTCTGCCACATCAACAGACTCTGTGATTGCAATCTGCCCACTCTTATGGTCTTCCCTGACCTTGTGTTTTCTCGTAGTGAATCTAGCTTGCTTCTTAGCCTCATTACACCAGAGGGGCTTTTGTCCCTGTCAGCCCCAGCCATTCTCTAAGCTTTTGTATCTTCTGTTTGTAACCTTCTGGCTCATACTTTCTTCTCTAGGTTTACCTGCCATGTGAACAGCATTTGAGGATGAACTTTCTTGTGGCAGGGGAAATGTCACTTTAAACCATGAGGGGGAATGGAAATTTTAGTTACTGACATAGGCAGGAGGCAGGCCAGGCATTCCCAGAAGGAGCAGGAGCAAGGGGGACATTTCAGAGGGTAAGACCTCAGTCTTAAGACTGGCTCATGTTAGCTCTGCTCAGATACAGTGTTCAAGTGTTCAACTGTGTGTGTGTGTGTGTGTGTGTGTGTGTGTGTGTGTGTGTGTGTGTAGGACTGTGTGGCCAGCCATTTAGAAGAGAGGTCCACCCTATCACAGACTATTAGTAACCAGGGACAAAGTATACAGCCTTCCTGTGACTGTCCTTGACAAGCAGCCTGACCTTGTAGAGCCAGGGCTGCTCAGGACTGGCAGGAACAGCTGACTCACATCTCTTCCCTATTCCTTTGCAGTGAGGAAGAGGAGGCTCGCAGACCTGACGGGACCTATCATCCCCAAGTGCCGTAGTGGTGTCTAGTATGCAAAGGGAAGCCCACGCCTGTGAACTGGACATGTTCTACTAATAATCTGTGTTCCCCAGTGGCGACCAGGAGGCAAACACTGGCGTGGAACTCTTGTGGTTAAGTTCTTTATGCACTAAGGTTTAGGTTAACTAGTGACTGTAGTTGGACCTTTTATACAATATGGTCAATGTGAAGTTTTCTTTAGTCACAAAAGTTCAGTCTGGCTATTATTTAAAATGAAGAAGCCCTCAAACTGGCAGATCTTGCTACAGATAGCTCGACAGTGGCAGTGACAGCCCAGGAGTCCCCTTGGTGGCCACGCTTTCATGTTTAGGGGCATTTACAACATGGAACACATCAACACAGAGCACTCTTCCCAACTAGTGTGGAAGCGCTGTAAAACACTTTATTACAGATTTGATCATAGCAACTCAGTAAAAAGAACAGATAATCATGATTTTTCAACCCTACTTGAAACTTTAACCTCAAGATTAAAGCTGCCAAATTGATTCCAGCATCAACCCCTCTCCCCCCAAGAATGAAAGGCAAGCTACAGAATCTTCTAAGAGTCAGAAAGACACAGGATTCCTTCTGCCAGATAAGAGAAGGGGAAGAAAAAGGCAACGGTGAAATTTCAAGTTTTAAAATCTACCACCCCAGGCAACAGACATACCCCTGAGTGCTCTGTGTGAACACCTGGGATGTACTCACTGCAGTCAGAAACCATTCTTTCTTTATTGAATGCCAACTTCATGATGAATGAAAACATCTCCCTATACCTCAGTGGGCAAATGGCTTATGTGAGGCCAATGCCCCTGGGTGAATTTCCAGTCTACCGTGGCTGTGCTATTTAGCATGGCCCTGCTTACAGACACCAAGTGCCTGCCTGGTCACTTATGAGATAAATCAAATCACAGAGCTCTTGCCTACAAATGAAACCTCTGAAGGACAGCAGTGCACAACATCTAAACGGCAAGGAATTAGGAAATCCTGACCAATGACACAAGTGATTATTCTGAAACCTAATTTCGGCGTTCCTACTTGGATCCCTTTTTTAACACCATGGGAGTCAGTAAAAATGTTAAAACACATTGTTCTTGTGCCTTTTAATAGACCATAGTGCCAGTTAAACTAGTATTTTCGTTTGTTGCTTTGGGGAATTATTTCCCTTAGGGATTCAGCCAATATTACAATAATGACAAGGCTCAAGAGCTGTTGAGTGCAGCCCAGGGGGTTTCTGACAAGGGAAAATCCTGCAACACTGAACTGTAATGTTGTGGACAGTACAGGGTAACTAGAGGTGGAGCCAGGGCCTCACCACTATGACAATGTCTAGTGAGGCTGCACATGGGCCCAGGAGTGGCACCAAGCTGCAGGGACGGCCAGCCCCACTCAGCTTCTCCTTGAAACACAATTGCAGCTGCATTCTGCATCACTGGAAACTGCAACATTAATATTAAAGCCATCGGTCTATGTGTGGTTGTGTGTGTTTCTTAAGACTCTCGTGATAGGGACATGTGCCCAAAGGCTAGAAGGCTAGCTAGCTGCTATGTTGAATAATCTCCCTAAGAAAGTACCTTGTGCCCCAGGTGTCCTAAAGCCTGCTGCTCATTTGGATCCCTAAAGAGAACACTTAGAAGCTGAGAGAGGGGATGCTGGGTAATGCAGGGCTCTTACGGGGACATCTTTCAAAGAAACCAAATCAATAAAAATGTAGGCCACTTCTTTAAGACCACCTCTATCAGATGAGCTGTTAGTCTAGTCTGGGGCTGGCATTTTCTGTGAAGGGACAGACTGTAAATACTTTAGACTCTGAAGGCCACATGGTCTCAGTAGTGCCATGATCACATGTAAAGGGATGGGTTGGGCTGATTCAGTAAATTCTTTTAAGTAGAAAGTGATCAACACCACAGATTACAGATCTCTTTGAGAAGTTAGGGAAGAGACTGAGGCAGGGGAAGGTGACAGCTGACCTGGTTTAAGAGTTCACACCCAGCAAAAAGGCAAAAAGGTTTGCTGCCAAGAGCAATGGCTACTACCCAGCTGCATGGCAGAGAAGACATGGTACAGCTGCCAAGCTCAAGGCTCTTTCTCTCAACATCCTTGGGATCTCACATGGTTCACCTTTTTTCCAGGCTCCAGCATCTTCTGAATCAAAGCAGGTAGATTAGGTAGCCAACACTGGACTCCCTGTCCCCTTTGCCTGTGGCCATCTGCCATGGTGGCAGTGACCAACACAGAAGTTCCCAATTTGTTTCTACAACCTTGACAATGTACACATAACCACTTAAGCCTACATTGTGAAGCTTCACCACTCAGCCTCACCAGCATCAGGCCCTGGCTCCAGATTCACAGGGAGTCATGCATGCTGCTCCTGAGGGATGCGTGGCCTCCGGGCGGTACACTCACATTCTTCTTTAAAACTGTCCTGGGTGGGGCCTGAAGCCAGCTTGCCCCCTTTGTCTTGACACGTGACGCAACAGGCTGTGAATCCTTGTCCTTGACAGGCAGAACAGGTCAAAACGAGCTGCCGGCATTGGAGAGTAGAACAGAGTTTATATTGGTCCCACGGGGCTCCACAGTATGAACATTCTAGGGAAGAAAGAGTCTTATTATTCTCTCTTTCCCTCTCCCCTGTGTCTCTACATCCCTCTGACACACACGCACACGCACACGCACAGATGTACTTATCCAATTCCTAAATACAACCCTGAGTTTACTAGAATCTAACATACCATTTTGGTCCAAGTCAGGTAGGGTGACACCAACTATAACCTCAACACTTGGGAAGCTAAGACAGGAAGATTGCAAGTTCAAGGCCACCCTGGGCTACATGCACAGTGAGACCCTGTCTCAGAAATAGAAACACATAGGTCAAAAGAAAGCAGTACTCCTATCTTCTAAGAAAGAGAAAGACCTCTGTTGTGGGGGGGGGGCATAATGTGGAGAGGGTTCTGGCAACTATATTCTGACTTACCTTCACCTAACCATTGCTCTTTTTTCCATCCATCACCTCTTTCTCATGAGCACTTCTGAACCAGCTTATTACCCATTACATGGTCTCTCCCTGAGATAATCTCCCTTTCCAGGGAGACCACATCACATCCAACTTGTAGAATGCATAACTCTCCACCCCAGGCTACCACCAAAAGCCACTGCCAGGACACCTGACCACCTAACCCTGAACTGCACATTATCCTCCTTTTCAGCCTCTATTTCCTGGTCAACTTCTGGCACCTTTGAAAATACCACAGTTCCCCTCATTTGGCTGTTACCTTTGGGCCTTTTCTCACACTCACAGTCACACACAGACACCCAAGTCCTGCAGGTATTCCCTCTACGAAATCACTAATTTGTTTTATACTTATAATTTGAGGTTTTAAATAAGACAAATATTAGACAATCACAATGAATAAAAAGATTGGAAAGGTAGGCAGGCAAGATGCATCAGTGGATAAAGGCAATTGCTAGCAAGAATGACATCCCGAGTTCTATCCCCATGATCTACATGGTGAAAGGAGAGGACTGACTCCTGTAGGTCGTCCTCTGACCTCCACATGTGTGTTGTAGAATGTACATGAGCACATAAGTAGACAAGTTAAATGTAACTTTTTACAAAGACCAGAAAGGAAGACTAAGAGGTCTGTACTCACAAGTGTTTGTCTACCAATGACCTGTAGTATCCAGGGCAAGTCACCTTCTGGGGGACACTGCAGGCAAACTAATAACCGGCTGCACCAGTCACCTTCACAGCCCTGCCCCTGCTTTTCCACTCTCGCCATCCCTCAACTGTGCACTCTGGGCCATGAGCTATGGCACGTGTCACCCGTTGCTTGGCAGGGTAGATGTGGCTGATCTGGCTGTCTAAGCAGACATCCCTTTCCTCCCTCATGGTTTCATGTGTGTCCCTCCTCAGACGCAGCTCAGCTGGTGAGGGTAACAGTCCCCATGTAAAAAAGGTCCAGTCTCTGGTCAAGGGTGTGCAAGCAGTTGCTGCGCTTTCCTATCAGGACCTCCAAAGGTGGGCTCTGGACCTGGACTGACCTACCTGATACCACACAACTGTTGTAGGCCAGGGCAAACCGCTCATCAAAAACAAACAGCTTCCCTTTGTAAAAACCATCAGGAAACTCTTCCAGGTACTTGTGGATGCCACCCTTGAGCTGAAACACTTCCTTACACACCCCCTGCATACAGGAAAAAACAACAACAACAACAACAACAACCATCAAGATGTTAAAAGAAACAGAGACTTAGAAGCAGCTCCATGGTGGTGAGTGCCCAAGCAAAGCATCCACCGCCTGTGCCCATCGGCCAGGGGCTCCCAGTGGCCTCCTGAGGGTGTGGAAAATGCTGACCAAAGGGTCAAAGAAGCACCTGGCCAGACCTTGCCTACTGGGGGATGGGTGACAATAGCAGCCAAGCCCTTCACCCTCTTAGACCCTGGGAAGCCTAACTATTTTTGCCATTCCCTAAATATAGGAATGCATCTGTTGGGACACGTAATGTCACTGAATCTGCTCTTCTAGGGATCAGGCACATGGATTAGGAAAGGGAGCCACTCAGCTAAGCTTGTTCTTTTGTAGTTGACAAGTCTTCAAGACTGCTAAGTGCTAGAGACTTAAGCTCAGGGTTATACTTACAAACTCCATTCTGGAGCTGTGCCAGGTAAAGTAAATCCTACAGCTGGCTAGGGTGGCTGGGGGGAGGTAAAGGGGGAGGAGGGGAGGCTCTACATAGGCTGACGGTGGTAGAGCTGCCTTCACCCCTGTGTACTGGGCCTGAAATGGCTCACCTTGGCTCTGAGGTATGCAGAACCCCGCTCACAGCGGATGCCTCCAGTGCAGTACATCAGCACCCTCTTCTGCCTGAAAATGTCAAGGTTTTTGTCAACGTAGCTAGGGAAGTAACTGAATTTCCTGATGTCTGGTGCTAAGCAGCCCTGGAATCGTCCCTACAACATAGGGACAGAATGAAATAATTAGAAAAATGTACCTGCTGGGAACCCAGTTCTTTCCGTGTAACAACCCCACCTTGGCAACGGTAACAGGCTTTTGCCACCCAAGGTCTGCATCCTACTCTCTGATCCTTTAACCTCAAGATCTGGAACTACACAGGGCTGGGGACAGATCCCTCAGGGAATGGTCAAGGTTACAATGGCAGCTTTCACAAGGCCATTGGTACATGCCAAGGGGAGGTTCATGGGAAACAAAATCATTTTATATGCCAAGATGTCTTCAACTTGTATTTCCTTGGACTTTCTCAACAGACTTAGAGTTCTGGACTTACGTTCTCCCTGATGCTGCCAGTACAGGAAGAAGGCTGATGACACGGGACATAGATGGTGCTGTGTAAAGCACCCACCCTTTCATGCCACTCAGTTCTGTATCTTACTTACGATTTTGCTCTCATAGAAGTTTCTGCAGTCCAGTATGATAGTATCACCCTGTTCCTGATTTGTCTGAGATAAAAGCTTTTCTATTTCTTTGTGAAATTCACCAGGGGATAAATGGATTCCTAAAACCAAGCCAAACAATTAAATCAAAACAAAATGAAAATCTAATTACAATGGTCCTAACCTGACAGAAGTGCTGACTCTGCTTCTTTGCACCTTAGCCTCTTGTCATTAATTACAATGGAAAGAGATGGCACTATCTGATGGTCAGGGTAAAGTATCTCAGCATCCCCGGCATCTCCATCTCCTTGCTCTAACCAGAGACTGCAGAGCTCCCACAGTTCAGAAATAAGGGATTTTTCTTAAACCAGATGCTTGAGGATTTATTTGGAGTTTCAGGCCACTGTATGCTGTATGCTCACTAGTGAGTCAGGAAATGGACAGTGTCCTCCTGTCAATGTTCACAAAGGAGCTTCAATACATTCAGGAGTCACTACAGCCTTCACATTGTCAAGTAACAAAGTTGACCCCAAATTCAAGGCTTGGCTTAGACCAAGGTAGTTGAAAGCATGGTGTTATGGAAAAGTTTGAGCATGTGTGTGTTTGATACAAGGGTAAGAACGATGTATCTATATTTGTGTGCATGCATAAAAGAAAGGTGTGGGAGGAGCTGACAACACACATGAAAAAATGAAAAAGAAGGTGATAGAGAAAAAGAAAAGCTATACGACAGGAGAGAAAGGAGATGGAGATGAGTATTAATGTGCAAGAGGCCTGAGAGAAACGCCTCTAGTCTGTGGAGCCTTTGCCTCTAGACTTTCAGGATAGAAATATTCCCAGACATCTTATTAATTGTGAAGAACTTACAGTGAGCGCCAGAAGCTTCACTGTATTGGGCATGGACCCCCAACAACCACTGGATAGTTCTTCAAATGTGTCTAGGTTTCCAACTCTCAAAGCTACAATTATAGAATGTAGCCAGACCTGATGTCATTCAGGTAGTGCACATAATTACATGGATCCCAAAACAGTGTTGTCAAAAGTGAGGTTCAAAACTGTGATGAGAAGCATGGAAATTCCCTTTGCCTTCTCCCTGCAGGGAGCTTTGGGGAACCAAATGTGTTCTCTGCTGCTGCTGCTGTTACTGCTGCTGTTACTGCTCTTCTGGCAGAGAGGGCTCAAATAGACAGAGATCCCGATGGACATATTGACAAGAGGTCCCTTTAAACCACCTGCTTTAGCTGAAGGCAGTCCTGGCCAGAATCCCCTCAGCTTCCAAGCAGTGTCCTGCCACACCCAGGAGGGCTGCTGTCATACTGCCTCCTGCTAAGATGGGGACACCAAGCAGACACTCCCCTACCTGGGTCCTGTTTCTTCATGCATATGCCTATTTGCAAGGTGCTTGTATCTCACCCCCATTCCCCTCTAACTTAACTCGTGGCCTTCTCTTTGACATCTATCTATGAAAAATAAACACCTGAGAGACAGGCGCCCTTTGTTCTTTGAGGCAATACTGCCTAGGTAGCAGTCATGCGAATGGAGGCAAAGAGACTGGACCTGAACTGATCAAGGATCTGGCCCAGAGCTGTCTAGCATAGATGTTGCTAGTCACCTGTAGCTGACAACTACCTAGTGTACTTTGAGGAAGGTGACAGTAAGTGTGGCAAACACGCTGCATTTCAAGGACTTAGTATGAAAAAAAAAAAAAAACAACCTCATTAGTAGTTTTATATTCAATACATACTGACATGTTTTAGACATGTTAACCATGATAGGTAAGCTCATTTCACCATTTCTATTTACACTAGAAATTGAAAAATAATGTAATGTGGCTCCCATATTTCTACTAGACAGCACGACTCTCAATCTAAATAGCAATCTAAGGGAGACAACAGAACAGAGGACGACCCTACTGGGATGTAATTAGTACCATTCCAAGACTGAGGAACTCTAAAGATAAAATTAATCTTCAGGGCAAGAGAAATGTCTCAGCAGGTAAAGGAACTTGCCTTCAAGCCTCATGATCTGAGTTTTATCCCCAGAACCCCATGGTGGAAGGAAGAACCAAGTCTCATGAGTTATCCTCTGACTTCCACATGTTTGCTGCAGCTTGAAAGCCCCCCACACTCACTCACAAAAATATATACAAATAAGTGTATCTCCAGGAGACACAGTCGGCTGAGGACTACCCTGTGGGATGCAGTTAACACTATCCAGATTCTGAGAAACTCTACAAGCCAAATGAAAGCCAATCTGCAGAGCTGAATGTACAAGTTTACAGACATTTTTTCCCCCTTGTTTAAGAGATCTTAGTTAAATCTGTTTTATTTGTGTGTTGGCCAGAGGACAAGCTCAGGCATCAGTGTTCACCTTCCACCTTGCTTGCAAGGCTCTCCTGCTTGCCGGCTGCCTGTGAGCTCTGAGAGGCTCCTGTTTCTGCTTCTCATCTCATAGCAGGAGCACTGGGAGTGCAGATGTACACCACTGTGGAATGCAGGATCCCATACTTGAGTGACAAGTGCTTTACCCACTGAGCCATCTTAGCTCCTCTTATTTAATCCTAATAGAAACTTAAGAAATCATGACACAACTGGAAATTCACTGACAAGATATTTATTAAGTAACTACTGCTAAAATGCTTTAGACATGGTTAGTAGTAAAACTTAACTATTAATCTGACTTTTAGAGGTATCTACTGAAGTATTTATGAGTGACACAGAGGTTCTCTTTAAAGTGATCTAGGATGAGGAAGGGATGGGGTCAGAAGACAGTTTGCCATGAATGAGTAGCTGCTGAGGCTGCGTGGTGAGCATATGGAAGTTCATTCTAGTATTTCCCCTACTCTATTTAGTGTTTGGAAATTTTTATGGTAAGAAGTAAAACAAAACCAAAAATCCCTGCCAAACAAATGCCTTTCAGTCATCTATAGTAAGCACAGGGAAGCAGGGATAGAATGTTCTAGAACACAACTTTGGTTTTGAAAGCTATTTGCTTACTGTGGCAAAAGCCCACATGCTCTTTCTGCTGATGAACTATTTGCAAGTAATAACTACACCACTTTCAAATTGCTCTCTCTGGAAAAAGGAAACAACTTCTTGCCAAACCATCACCAAGAAAAATGTGCTATGGGTCTAATGGGGGCCTTTGGTTAGCATAAGCACCACAGAGGTCAGTTTAAGTCCTGGACAGACAAGAGCTAGCCACCCTATGGCTATTTTAAAGAGAAGATTCACTATGGTTTCTGCTGACCAGTGTCTAACTTCCTTATTGTCTATTATGGTTTATTTCTATGACAATAAGACAAATCTTTAAAATATAAGCATACCAGGGTTCTTGTAGGAGACCTTACTGGGGCTGATCCCCATAGGCACGATCTCTTCAAACACACCGACTCGCAATTCTGGGAAGCACTGAGCTCCTCCTTTGCTGCTCTAACCAAAGAGAAACAAGACAGAGTTTACTTGTACCACTGCCAGCTAAAGACAAGTGCCAAACATAAGAATTATGGTCTGTTTAATAGAGTGATAGCTGAAATTTTAAACCTCAAATTAGGGGAAAAAAGGAACTGTCAATAGAAATAAAGTTATGGTCCAGAATGTTCCCGATAACTCAACATGTTAATAAATGTTTACTGTGCCACTTGCACATGCAGGAACATTGTGTTTGTGTGGCTATGTACATGGAGCTCATTCCCATGTGAGCACACGCCAGCTTTTGTTCTGTGTCTTGCCATGGTCAGTGTGAGAATTAGCGAGTGTTCCCGCCAGTTTACCACTTACTATGATGAAGCATAAGTCCTTGGGCACAGCACCTCCACTGAAAGAACCACAACTTTATTCTCCTGTGGTGTCAACTTTAATTTCAGGTTTACTTAACCATAGTCCACCACAGAGACCTGCGAACCAGTCTCTCCAGGAAAAACACCCAGGTTTTAGATCCCAGCTTGTTTAACTGTAACATCCTTATAGGAAGGGAGACCAGGGTCTAGGAAAGGGTTAGGATTAGAGTTAACAGTGAACAGAATGTTTGTTTCGTTGCACTGACTTGGAACTCACAAAGGAAGGGATTTGTCTGGCTCTGTATGCACTCTTCAGCGACCCTCAAAAGCAGACTGCCCTAGCTTTAGTTTTTTTCTGTTACTCTTACCTTAAAGTCATCCTCACACAGGTAATCCTTAAACAATGGGCAAGAAAGCATGACTTCCACATACAGTCTGGTGGCCACTTTACTTCCTCCAACAGTTCCATTGATTCCTTCAGTAGCGATCCGAATCTGAGACACAAGACGGTGAGGAGAAGAGGTCTGTCTTAGCTTGCTTGTCTTCCCAGGATAGACTAAAGGTCCCTTTCATATCAGTGAACATAACAGGAAGAGCAGAGGCCCTGCTGTGGCCACCACAGTATCATAAGACAGCATGTGTGTCCCTCTGAAGCAGTGTGGCCCAATGGTCAGCTGAGGAATTCAGTCCATATGTGCCAAACAAGAAAACTCTGTACTGAAATCTCTGGAAAGCCTGTTTGCTCCAGAGCTCTAGCTGTCCTGTAGCCAATGGGGTTCCTGAGATGAGTCTAAACCCAGGCTGCAGATGGAGCATCCGGAGGCTAGGGAAGAAGATGACCTCTGCCACTTCCCCACAGGTGGCCCAAGAAGTTTCAACTTTGATGTCTCCATGAAACTTACATAGGTACAACAATGCCAAAAGTGAACAACAACAAAAAGTCCACTGAGGAGACTTCACCCCAATCCTAAAGAGGGAATTTATCTGATAATGGGATGCACATGTCACCTCTGCATGGAGGCTCAAGAAAAGCCATGATCCCAAACCTGTAGGCTGGAATTCAAGTTGTGTTTTGCTCACTGGGGTTTCCTGTGTCTGTATCAATGCCTGCCTCATGGTGGGCTCAGTATTCACAGAGTAAATGCATATGCACCCACATCTGGGGCTCTCTGGCTTCTCTAATCTGAAACTGTCTCTAAAACACTCCACTGAAGATGGAACATGAGAGCCTGGGTTAGGGCATGCTTGGAAGCCTGTACAGTTGGTCGTCCTAATAGAATAAAATCCTGTGGGTAAGTGTAAAGATGGAGCAACTTTACAAGGAGCCACCTTCAGAGCAAGGTGCTAGACAATGCCAGTTGGGCACCATACAGTCTCTGGAAGAGAAGTGACTCAATTCAAGGCCCAGAACTGTTACCACTATTCACACATGAATACAGCCACATTTGAAAGTTGTATGTGGCTGCTCATGTTCAGGGTCCAGAAAAGAAAACTGAGTTGTCTCACTTGATCTAACTCTTTAGGTCATGCTATAAGCCAATGCCAATTGACTGGTAGTAACTACCCAGAGAAGTATCCTGATTACCACTGACTCCCTAAGAAAGAGAGCTGCAACTGGGTGTGGTGGCACACACCTTTAACCTCAGCACTCAGGAGGTAGAGGCAGGAGGATCTCTGTGAGTTCAAGGCCAGCCTGGTCTGCAGAATGAATTCCAGGACAGTCAGGGCTACACAGAGAGACCCTGTCTTGAAGGCTGCAGTCCAGGGAGCTTGCTCTGTGTGTGAGGCAGGGAAGCAGAACACACAAGCCATCTCTGTTCCACAGGCCACCCCGCCCGTCACCAACTAATAGGAGACTACAAAGAAAAACAGCCTTGAGCCAGCAAGGTCAGGAAATCCATCTGAAAACAGTCCAACTGAGGCAATGATGAATGCACATTTTTATGTGACTAGTTCTGGGTAGGTGGGCAAATACTTTCCTATTTCATTTTAATCTCAGAAACCAAATGCATGCCATGCACATCCACTGCCTACAGACCTAGGGCAGAGTCATCTCTAAAGTCACTAGATTTGTAATATCTAGATTCCCAACAAGTTTCAAAGATGCCCTTTGGTGAACAGTCTTATAAGTAGGAAGCTGAGACAAGCAGCAGTTAGCATTGTGGAGCATCTGCTGAGACCCAGCTCTATATCATAACCTTAAGGGGCAGATGGACAGCTCCCTTCCAGACAAGAAAATGGCAGCTGTGGCTGCTGCAGGGAATCAAGAGAAAAGAGCTGATGAGTAGTGGATCTGTGACTCAACTCTTGGAGGATTCAAATCTTACCATTTGTCTTTTCCAGTCTGAATATATCCCCTCTAATTTTATTAATTAATCCATTCATTTCATGTGTATGTGTGTGTGTATCTGCATGTATGTATTCATACAAGTGTGTGCAGGAGCCAAGAAAAGTCAGAAAAGGGCATTGGCTCCCCTGGAACTCCAGCTATAGACCGTTGTGAGCTGCCATGCAGGTGCTGAGAATTGAACTCAGGTCCTCTGCAAGAGCAGTAAGTGCTCTTTAACTGTTCAATTTCTTGAGGTCATATGATACACAGCCAGGAGCATTAAGGTTCTCCTTTTCCTTGCCTAAGAACCAATATTGTCAAATCCTAGCACTAAAGTAGCTCACTAAACTGGCCAAGTCTTTGAAGTCTAGAAATTTGGATCTGAGATCCAGGAAGATGCTGCCACCTGGTGGACATGACTGCTCACTGCTATGGCATCACAGGCTGCACCCCAAAGAAAAGGCCTCCTTGACCAAGAGACCTTCCCTTCCCTCTGTATGTAGCACAGCTGCTCTTGAAATTGCAGTAATCCTCCTGCCTCAGTCCCCTGTACAAGCATGTACCACCACACCTAGCTTTAAACCAAAATAAGACTGATTGCATAATTCTGTACATTTTGCATGAGCAGTCATCTTTCTTGGTGAGAAAGTTGAGTTAACAGAGATGGTGATATATATTCAGAACACAAAATACTGGTTTTCAAAATTATGGCTAGGAATTAGGGATACAGTTGTTGAAAAGTAAAGCCCCCCCACCAGACTAAAAGAGGTCAAACTGCAAAGAGTTACAAATAGATGGGTGCCATGAAAGATGACAGAAGCTCCTAGAGGGGACACTGAGGAAAATGGATTAGATGGGAGGTCAGGAAAGTTTCAGAGAAAGCGTCATTAAAATTGAGACCCGAAACTTCAGTAAAATTAGATAGGGAAACAGTGGGTGTGGGAGAGATCCTTGAAGAGAATTAGCCTAGAAAAAGAGGCAAACAAAACAAACCTTGGTGGGTCCCAGGAAACTGAAGGACACAGCTGGAACATGGAGAGTGGGGAAGGCAAGGGCCCCAAGCCTGCAGCAGCCTAGGCTGTTAGGAGGTGACCTAGCCCACCTGGTCTGCTGGAGCTACTCTAACAAGCTCATTCTGGCTGTTGCATTGAGAGCAGATTAAATGGTGGGAGAAAATTGGGAACTGGAGGCTAGTGGAAGTTACCACATGGACTAGACAGGGTGGTGTGGCAGCTTGTCTAGGGTGCTAGAAGTGGAAAAGAGAAGTAAATGGAGCCGAGGGATATTGCAGGGCAGGGTGTGGTGATGAACTGAATGGGGCGAGTTGTATTAGTCCTTGTCAAACAACAACGGGGTGGGAAATGGCACTGACCAACCAGTTTATTAGTAACTTGGGAATGGAAGAAACTCAAAAGGTTTCTACTTCACTTCCTTTTGGTTTGAAATTATTTAAATATACATGGAGGATAAAGCATAAACGGCATTTTACAAAAATGAATGCTATCCTCTGATGCGGAGATGAATGTTAGCATCTGGGATGTGCTTCCCCTCATCTTTACATACACTCGTGGACACGCTAGCAACACACAGTCTTTCCTTTACTCAACAGGCTCTAACCCTTAAGGAGTGCCTTTTATATGCTTGCTCCAGCACTGAGAATATAGTGATATGATCTTTGAGAGCAGCAGAGACAAAGTGTGGTAAGGAAACAGCATTGGAGTAGAGCTCTGAGAGTGTACCAGACATGGCAAGGAGGGGAGGGCCTCGTAGAAGGGAGGCAGGTACAAATGTCAGTACCTGAGGTGGTAAAAGACCTGCTTCTAGGAAAACCAAGGTGCTAACTTAGAATCAAACCTACATGCAGAGGTTTTTGAGTTCAGAACACTTCCCTATCTCAGCTATGAGCAAACATCTGTATACAGATGTATCAGAACATAGCAAATCTACTCCCTTATGTAACACCCATGAATGCTTTCAATCTACAACAATGATGAGTAGGGGTTTTTTTTTGTTTGTTTGTTTTGTTTTTTAAACAAACCTGAAATATTTACTATTTGACCCTTTGGGTACAGTTGACTGACTCCTGATCTATAAAATAACATTATCAACAGCTGTTTAATACTTCACTAGAGTGACAAGCAGGATTTCCCTTGTTCTGAGAAGCTGGAGTGAAGACTTCCACAAAGAGCACAGCTCCCACAGTCCAGGGTTAAGGGGACAGTATGAGACTATACCGCAGGGCACATGTGCAGGGCATATGTGTAGCAGAGCGCCTGTGCAGCAGGACTTACCTTGCCTGTGAGGTGCAGCTGTTGGCACAGAGCTGTCTGCCAGGCACAGATCCAGTGGGGGTCCTCCAAGTCACAGTAGCAGTAATACAGGAGTACTTCCCCTTCTTCATTGCCCTGGCTACTACAAAAGGAAGGTCAGAGGGCAAGAGCACCGGAGCCACATGAGGCCACAGTTTCCAATAAATCCAGAAGAAATGGGAGAACACAAGATGGAACTACTCATGTCTGTGTCCTTATTATCCTCCTAACATAGGAGCACTTCTCTTTCATATTTTCTCTACATACGACGGTCTGCACTGGACTTTTACATTACAAAAAGCAAATCTGCTTTACTGTCCCCACTTACCACTCACACCCAAGACACAGATATTAGCAAGCCCACTTTACAGGCAAGCTGGAAATGAACCCGCTGTGGCTTATCCTCAATCAAAAGGCAGTACCTGGTTTGACTGGCTCACCGTGGAAAAGCTTTACTTCCAGTTTTTCATATAATCCACTTACTTATGAGACATGCTATTTTTTATTTTAGGGGGTTTTTCAAGACAGAGGTTCTCTGTATAGCAGCCCTGGATGTCCTGGAACTCGCTCTGTAGATCAGGTTGGCCTTGAACTGACAGAGATCCACCTGCCTCTGCCTCCCGAGTGCTGGGATTAAAGGTGTGCATCATCACACCCAGATGAGACGTCATTATTGGCCACACAAGACAAGCCTTTCTATGTCAGCATGCTCACATAGAAGAACTAAATCACTAAGAAGACATCAGTACTTTAGGAGACCAGAGAAGAATATAATATAGTTTGATACTTGACTTAAAAATATTCAAAGCCGCCAGGCGGTGGTGGCACATGCCTTAATCCCAGCACTCGGGAGGCAGAGGCAGGAAGATCTATGTGAGTTCGAGACCAGCCTGGTCTATAAGAGCTAGTTCCAAAGCCACAGAGAAACCCTGTCTTGAAAAACAAAACAAAACAAAAAAGCAAAGAAAAAGTTTGGATTCTGAAAATATTATATTCTCCAATAATCTTTTAAAAAACATTTTATGTATTTTCTATTTTATGTGTATGGTGTTTTGCCTACATGTATGTCTGTGTACCACATGCATGCAGTGCCCACAGAAGCCAGAAGAGGGCATTAGATCCCCTTGAATACAGTTGTGAGCTACCAGGTGTGTGCTGGGAATCAAGTAGCCAGTTCTCTTAACCACTGAGACATCTCTCCAAGCCCTTCCCAATAAGCTTGATGAGTGATTTGTCTGTCTGGCTGCATAGCATTGAATTCGTCAGTACCTGGACCAAACAAGTCTGTTCTTACCTTCTCTATTTATTTAGACATTTTAAATTAAAGTGTAACTTACAATGAAATTCAAGCATACATTCCCATTCAAACCCTCAGAAAGAACCTTTCTCTCATTACAGATTGCTTTGCCCTACAGTCATGCAACCATAAAGCAGACCCTCTTCTGCGTGGCTTCTGTTCTCTCAGTATAAAGATTTGACAAACCATTCGCACACATCCTTGTCCCTGGCTCTTACTGCACAATGTTCCCTATCTGTTTTCCTGTGTAGCTTTGGCTGTTCTGGAACTCGATCTGTAGACCAGGCTGGCCTTGAACTCACAGATCCGGCTACCTCTGCCTCCCAGTAATGGGATTAAAGTCGTGAGGCAGGGCACCGTATTCTAACATGACTACATCCATCCTTTCATGCTCTTGCTATTGCTACTTATGGTTGTTTCCAGTGTGTCTTTTTAAATTATTCTTTATTTTTTTAATCTTTGTGTGTGTGTGTGTGTGTGTGTGTGTGTGTGTGTGTGTGTGTGTGTGTGTGTGTGTATGTTGTTTGGTGCGGTATGAATGTGTTTGTGTGCAGATGTAGGCCATGGGTGTCACAATGTGTATGTGGAAGTCAGAGGACAATCTTGGGTGTTGGTCCTCACCTTCCGCCTTGCTTGCTGACCTGTGAGCTTTTGGGGATTCTGTCTGCCTCCCATCTTGATGTAGGAGCACTGGAACACTAGGACTACCCATGAGCACAACTATGACTGGCTTAAATGGGTTCTGGGGATTCAAACTCAGGTCCTCATATTTACATGGCAAACATCTCCCCAGTGAGCCATTTCCAGTCCCTGTCATTTTAAAATGTAACTAGTTTATTTTTAGTTAGCAGACAAAATAAGGGGTTCTTTCCAATATTTTGTTATTACAAATAAAACTGCCACAAACTTCATGTTTAGGCTTTGGTGAGCATATGTTTTTATTTGTTTGTTATATACCCATGAGTGGATCACTGGGAAGATGTCTGAACTTTAAAAGAACCTGCCAAACTCTTTTCTGGAATGGTGCGACCATTTCTACCCTCACCAGCAATGAGTGGACATTTTAGTTGCTTCACCATGTCACCTGTATTTGCCAAGGTTGGCCTTTCTCCTTTTTTTGCCTATTTTAGTGAGTTAACTGTAGTATAACGTTGTGGTTAGGAAATATCTTAAAAGCAAACCAAAATACAGAATAGGAAACTTACCAGCTCAGCTCATCAGGGCTAAAGCGGCTTATATCAGGGAGCCAAGCAGACACTTCCTGACTAGGAGTGAGATAGTTTTTCGGAGGGTTCTGTCTGTCTGCGGATGTAAGACTCTGTGAAGCACTCAATGCTGCAGCTAGCTGCTTTAGAATAGAAGCTGTCTGATGGTGAACTTCTTCAGCGTGCTGTGTTGCCACATGTCTGTGGATGCTGGTCTGGTCTGCAAATACCTGCTGACAGCATCTCCACCATTTTTCTTTAAATTCATGAGAAGGTGATGAAACTTGTTTGGTTTTGACAAAAATGGCAAAGGCCTGTAATTCACATTTCAAATAACACCATTATTTAATAGCTTTAGGTTTAGGGTTAAGTTTCACTCAATCTCTTATACTACTTTTTATGTGGTAGGGGTTTTAGTTTAGCATCCTGCCAGTCTACAAAGAATTCCAAGAGCAAGAGCATGGGCTTGTATTGCTTCCAACAACCCATACACTGACTCTGGAGTAGTAAGGTATGTTTCATATTCTGGCCTTCCACACCTGAGCCTTCAACATCTACGTTCTGCACATGACGTGGACATGGACAAACCCGGACACCTTATTGCTTCCACCTTCCAGAGAGTCCTTGTCCACCCTGTCCTCTGAGATGGGAGTTTACTCTGGTTCCTCTAAGACAATAGTTCTCAAACTTCCTAATGCTGTGACCCTTTAACACAGTTCCTCATGTTGTGGTGACCCCAACCATAAAATTATTTCATTGGTACTTCATAACTGTAATTTTGCTACTGTTATGAATCGTAATGTGAATATCTGATATGCAGGATATCTGGTATGTGCCCCCTAAGTTTAGAATCTCTGCTCTGTGGAATCACTTTTAAACACTCAAGAGTTCATTGCAGAGGCCTCTTCTGACATCAATCTGTTGCACTCCCACTAAATACTATTTCTCTACTTTCTGGACATAAAATTTTCTATTTTCATGTTTGGTTCTACTATTTACCTTTGAAAACAAATGTGAGGAAATAATACAGCCTGTAGGTGCCAAATTTCTACTTGGAAAAGTAAATCAAAGAATTTCATAAATGTTAAGCAGCATAATAGAATCATGTCCTTGTCTAGTACAGAACAGAGACACAATGACTCCCAAGTGTTTCCCTATCCTGCTTCCAGGATCATCGTTTACTATTTCTTTTACAATCTTATTCAAATGTACCCATTTATTCACTGTTCCTTAATGTTACTCGAACACCCCTGCCCTCCCAGCCTAGCTTCTGCTCAGCTTACTGTCTGGAAATACTCTTCTTTTGTAACTTACCAAAATCTTATCTAACTGAAAAGATGCCCATTCTTCAAACACACATTTAAGGCAACTACAGCTCAAATCAGACAAGTACCCCCCAGGAAACTGGCAAGACTGTTCTGAAGTAACAACCTCTTACTACTCAATCATCAAAATCCATTTTCCTTTCTTCCTGGGAAACTGTTTCCTAGCCTTTGGATTAAGGCTGTACAACTGTTTCCCAATAGAAGTGACACGCCACAACGCCACTTCTGGTCCATAAAAACCTCCCATATGTGCTCCTCTGTGCTTGCTCACTCTTCAGCTTTACTGGAGTGGGAACTTTGGAAATGTGCTGAGGCCTGCAGAGGTGACATCAGCCTGGGTTCTTGCAACCTCTGTGTTACTAAAGATGCCTCATCTCCCATTTCCCAAGTCCAAACTCCTAATGTGCTCCATCCACTACAGGTGTGAGGCCAATTGTTCCTGGAGCCTCTGCCACCACAATGAATACATTAGGAATTTCTACAAGACTAATGAGGAAGAACACAGAGCAAAGGTATCAACACATATGTAACAAAAGCAAAAGGTGGTGCACACCTAAGTCCCAGAAGAAGCAAAAGGATCTCTGTGAGTTCAAGGCCAGCCTGAGTTCCAGGCCAGCCAAGGCTGCAAAGTGAGACTGCCTCCAAAAATAAATAAATACATAAATAAATAAACATTTTCAAGTCTCTTCTTTCACATCCTATATCCAATCCAGCAACTCTACTTCCAAATACACACAAAGCTAACCATTTCTCCCTTGGCTACCACTCCATAGATCCAAGCCACCATCACTCTTCCCTGGATTGTTATAATAGTTTCTTAGCCTCCTCTTTTCCATACTCATCACCATTTGTTTTCCATTCAACTGAAATGTTTCTTTTAAAATCTAGATCAAGCCAGGCATGTGACATGTGGATCTCTGAGTTCAAGGCCAGCCTGGTCTACAGAGCAAGTTCTAGGATAGCCAGGGTTACACAGAGAAACATTGTCTTGAAACAACAACAAACAAACAAAAAATACGAACAAAAACCTAGAACAGGCGGGCATTGGTGGCACACTCCTTTAATCCCAGCACTTGGGAGGCAGAGGCAGGCGGATCTCTGTGAGTTTGAGGCCAGCCTGGTCTCCAGAGCAAGTGTCAGGATAGGCTCCAAAGATACACAGAGAAACCCTGTCTTGAAAAACCAAAAACCAAAAACCAAAACAAACAAACAAAAAACTAGAACAGATATCATTCCACTGCTCAAAATTCCCCAAAGGCTCTCCTCCTATCCTCTAGGAAGTCCCCATAACCTAGTTCCTTCCACTGTTCCTATCCCATCCCATTTCCACTTCTTGGCTTTGGCTCAAACCTAGCATGCAGGCATCTGTAATACCTTCAGACTTTGCACTGGATTTTCCTCCCTCCAGTGTCTGTACGGTTTGCCATTCTTCACATTTTCAAATCTCACCTATTGACAAGGACTTTTTCTGGTGAGAGAACAAGCTAAAATTTCTTTAAACTTCTCTAACTTTTCCCTATGAAACTTATATCATTTAATATATTAAATAGTTATTTATAATTGTATTACTATAGTACTAGTTTGTGGTTATCTATTAAAGTTCCTATTACATAGTTATTACATAATTATTACCTATATATAAAGTCTTCTATAAGATGACTTGAGTCTGCCATAGATACCTAGCCGGGTGTTGGTGGCGCACGCCTTTAATTCTAGCACTCGGGAGGCAGAGGCAGGTGGATCTCTGTGAGTTCGAGGCCAGCCTGGTCTCCCAAGGCTGGATAGGCTCCAAAGCTACATAGAGAAACCCTGTCTCAAAAAAAAAAAAAAAAAAAAGCCAAAAAAAGCATCAAGTGTGAAACTATACATGCATGTCAATGTATGCTCTCAACTACAAAGCAGGTGAAAGGCCTAAGTCTTATTGGCATTTAGTTTTTATTGTCAATATTTTAAATATTGCTCCCCCCACCAAAGGCAATATAAATACTTCATTTTTATTTGTATATTTTTTTTAGTACTAAGACTAAATTTTTTCCTACATTTTCTGATTTGTTAGTTTATATGTATTGTCTGTTTTCCTTTTTAAAAATTTTAAACTTTGTATTATAATTGGGGAGAGGGGCACATGGCATGGTGCACACTTGAATGTCAGAGAACACCTCTATAGAGTCAATCCTCTCCCTCCAGCTCTACATGGATTGTGGGGTGGTGTTAGAGGTGAATTGCATCACTGATGAACCTTCCTCAATTTATGCTAGACTGGCTCTGGAGTATGCAGGGCGGGGCACAAGTAGTCTGAAATGACATTCTAGGGCCTTTTTAGTGTTTCCTTTAGTTGATCCCTCATGACAAGCAAGAAGAAAAGAAGATGGCACTGCTATTTCCTTCCCAACCACTGATGAACTAAATGGGAAAAGGGGAAACCTTACAGTGAGGAAACCTAGCAGACAATTTCCACCAATATCCAAAATGAAAGGATCTGTAACAGGAACATCAGCACGTGGGGCACCTGAAACAATGTGTTAACATGAACATGGCATTTCTTCCAGGATAGTCTTCCTAAAGAAGCAAACTCTGAATCTCATAGAAGGAAATATCAGTCAAAACCAAAATGAGGGTCCATCTACAAAACAACTTATTTGTAATTTTCAAGAGTGTGATAGCTATAACTTGAGAGAAAAATTCTAGTGTTCTAGTTTAAAGACCAAGTTGGACATGGTGGTACATGCCTGTAACCCTAGCACTCGGACTACTTGGAAGGTAGGTATGAGTTCAAGGTCAGCATTGGTTACATAGTCAAAAAGGAAGGACTAAGGTGTGGCAACCAAACCAAGGGAGTGAGCACTGTAACTGGCTCAGTTTCTGTGTAACCAGGGGAGCCTCCTGCATTTGAGACAAGTGGTGAATGTGAATGGAATCTCTGGACAAGGCCAGTATGTGTATCATTTATAAAGTTCTCACTCTTCTGTAAGTCTGAAATTATTGCAAAATAATACTGGTAAAGGACCTTTGTAACCTCTGAATTTCATTTTCAAGAAAATCTGTATGGGACTGACTGAAGGTGCAGCAGGGAAATTACAGAGATATTTATTCCACACTGACATAGAGTCAAAAAGAGGCTCCCTAAGAGGACCACAGGCTGAAGGTGAGAAAACTAGGTCTCAGCTACCCCTCCTTAGTCAGCCAATGGTTTCAACAACAAAATACATGGCACTGATGAAGGGCATCACCCCCACTTCTTTATAGTGCAGGCACAGTGTTCTCAGCAGCTGCAGCATCCTGCGATGCTCTGTTCTTTCTTCAAAGCACTGAGCTACCTAGATGAGACCAAGCTTTTTCCCCACCAGCAACAGGCTCAGTAACAGCCTCACTAGAAGCCAGCTGACCTATTACCTGTCAGTCCTCCTTATACTACGGTTCTGAGCTCCTAGGATTCTTCTACACCTGAGTAAGGAAAGAAATTCATCCTTCTTGACCAGGACCTGGAATCCTAAAACATTCCACCATAACTACATTCCAAGACTACATGCTGCTAGAGACTAGACTAAACAATAATCTATTTCTATATGTACTTTACTATCTATATATATATATTTACTAACTAACTAACTAACTAACTATATATATATACACATACACGATCATGAAATCACCGACAGCAATTTACCTTTTTTTTTGCAAATGAGTATTTCTTCTTTATATTGCCATCTAACTCTGCTTTGAGACTGTTGCTGGGGTTAGTAAGATTTGATTCTTTTAAATCCAGATCAGAAAACTTTAAAACGCAGGTCTCCAGGCTATCTCCTTCATCTGGTAAAGTGGAAGAAGGCATCTGGATTGATCAGTGGGGCAGATTTCTTTCAGTATCTTCCTTTCAAGTATCTTCTGAGACGTAAGAGAGAAAATGCAATGCTCAACTTTTAGGTACTTGTGGAAGCAAATCAATCGTGCAAATTAGCAGTGGCCACATAACCCAAGCTATCCATTCATAGCTCACTTAATAGTATTTATGTGACAACTATGCTTGGCCAAATACCCTTCTACACACTGGGAATAGAGCAGTAAATGCAACAGGAAAAAGTCTATTTTACAATCGAGTGGGAAAGATACGCCAATAAACTGATTTTTTAAATTTAATATTTTAAAGAAAAATTAGCAGAGGAAGGAGGCAGGTGAAAGGGCTCTTTATACACAAAGGGGTAGGAAAAACCTTTCTGAGATACCATTTTTCAAAGAAACATGAATTAGGAAGCAAGCCATGTTAAAAATGCTAGGTGGATAATAGAAGGAAAGCACTATATACATCCCAAATCAACCAACGCAAGTGATACTATGGCTTTGTTTCTTTTGTTCTCAAATCTCAGAGCCAAAATTTCAAAATTGCTACTGTGGCCAAATCTCACCAAAATAGATACAACTATAACTAATGAACTGTTTTCCTTTTAGTTACATTTTATTTACTTTGTGTCTACTTATGCCTAGACTCCTGCCAGGATATGGACCTGGAGGAAAGGGGACAACTTTCAGGAGTCAGTTCTCTCCTTCCACATTTCACAGGGTCCACTGATCAAAATCATGTCCACAGGCTTGTGAATCAGGTGCTTACCTGCTGAGCCATCTTGACAACCTCTATTTTTTAAAATTCATTTTTCTGAGACTGAGTCTTGCTGCATAGTACAGGCTGGCCCTGAACCCCTAGTAATTTTGAATTTGAGATTCCCCTTACCTCTACTTCTAGAACACCATGCCACCATACCAGACCCTAAGCTTTGCCTTCCTTTTAAAGTCAGCAGTCCACTCTGAACCGAATTCCCCAGTGCAAGGCTCCAGCATTTCTTGCCTGAATTACTGATGCTTAACTACCTTCTTGGAAGACTTTTCCAAAGTCTGAACCTACTCAGATAATCTGTCCCTGCCTCTAATCCCAACTTGTACCACTCTTCCTTTGCTATTAGGTCAGACCACAATGGCTGTGGTCATTTCTGAAGGGGTCCTTCAGGACTTCAGCTCCAAAAGAGCAGAGGCTTCCTTTTGCTCACCTGCAGCTTCAGTATCCTGAACACTGTACAGAAAGCAACAAATGTTAACTAATACAATATAGTGCTTGCTGAATGAAATAAAGCAAGAGTTTAAGAGTCACAGAAATGCCGGGCGTTGGTGGCACACGCCTTTAATCCCAGCACCCAGGAGGCAGAGGCAGGAGGATCTCTGTGAGTTCGAGGCCAGCCTGGTCTCCAGAGCGAGTGCCAGGATAGATTCCAAAGCTACACAGAGAAACCCTGTCTCAAAAAAACAAAAACAAAACAAAACAAAACAAAAAGCGTCACAGAAATAATTCTGTAGGCACCTGATGGTCAGCCGTGTAGATTTCAGAGCAGAGATCATCAGGCAAAGGAAACAGTTAAGGCTTGATTCCTAAAATGTAAACAAGCTGAACTTATCAGAAGAACATAGTGGTTCACACACAGCGATGGGGACAGAATCTAAGAAGTCATAGTTTGGAGTTTGCAATGGAAATTCTAGGAGAGTTGGAGGGCATATGATCAAGATGGATGGATAGATAAAAAGAACAGATGAAAGATATTCTCTAACAAGAAGAAAGGGCCGGAAAGATGGCTCAGTGGTTAAGAGCACTTACTGCTCTTGCACAGGACCCACGCATGATTCTGGCCCCACACAACCGCCCTGCACCCACATGGAAGCTCACAAATGTATGAAACTCCAGTTCCCGGGGATCTGATGCCCTCTTCTGGCCTCCATGGGCTGCTGCACAGTCGGGCACAAACACATAAAACAGTCATATTTTTAAAGTCCGTGAAGAGTTTTAAACATGGTAGTAGGTTTCATTAATGGACTTGCTCTCAAAGTACAGCGGGCAGTGTCTGTGAAGGATCTAATGACTCCTCCCTAAATTCATGGATTAAGCAAGCGACAGAAACGGCCTTTTACTGAAACCGGTAAGACTGAACGAAGAGTTTCGGCCAGACCATAGACAAGGCAGTTTGGTGTCCATCAAAGACATCAGGGCAGAGGGCGTCCACATACTGCACACGTGCAAAGGGACAGAAGAACAATTGGAACCAAATCGATCAATTATCCGCTGCCTCCTCATCCGTCAGCTGGGAGAGGTAGGCGGCAAGAGAACCATGAGCAGGCTGGGCCGTGCGGGCTTGACTTCCCCACCGCTGGGGGGTGCCCTCCCTACCACCCCAGGTCTCCCGAGGCACCTACGGCCGGG